GTCCCCAGACGCCCAGACGGTCACATCAACGCGTTTTCTGGCTTCGTTAATCAATCAAAGATACCGAACCCTAGAGTTCGAACCATATGCGTATCACAGACGCCCCATTTTCACCAGATGAAGAAAAGATAATTTTGTATAATTTCCTATCGTTAAATCCCAGTAAAATTCTAGACAAGGACCATTACAGTTATTACCAGGGGAGGGAGGGATGACACCGCACGTTCATTATTCTGTTCAGCGAGGTCCGAAGCGCAAGGTAATTCAGATAATGAGTCCTGTCCTTGATAATATCTCGTGGTGGAACATATCCCGCCCTAGGACCGATGGACTGAATATATCCCGCCCGAGGACCGAGGGAGGAGGAGTACGGGACTTAGGGACTGAGGGACTGAACTGTTCTTTGAGTAGGTGGACCGTGAAACCAACAAATTATAAGGGCTAACTTTGACAAGTTGGGTGAAAATGTATGAGAGGTAGCTGGTAGACGACTAATCCGACAATATTGATAGACTCTGGATTAATTACATGTCACTGGACGACAGAGATCAAAAAGGACAATGTTCACCAGGACAATTTAAAGAATAAAGGCAAAACCCCTGACAAGTTATCCACCTGTCCCCGTCTCTCCGCTAACAATCTAGCCTCTTTAAACTGCTGTTATCACGTGATCTGACCCCTCCAATCAGAGACCAGCATTGGGAGACTCGCACATTTACAGCCGGTAAAAGGTTTAAGTGCTCTCTCAGTAAATTGGATTTTCCTAATTGGAGTTAATTGCATTGTGTGCGTGTTAGAATAAAGGGTATGTCAAATATTTGACAGTTTGCATGGAGAGGGTATGAGGGTTTTGTGGCGACGTTCTCGTTGAAAGTAAAAATGTGAAACAAGGAGATTCTGTTGTAAAACTATCAGTCTCTGGTGAAAACGGGAACATTGAAATCTTGAGGACGAAAAAATAGAAACATTCCGGTTATCGAATATATCGATATTACTTTTAATAGCAGTTATATCGCGTAACAAGCTGTATTAAGTTCAGGCACGTAGCCAGGGGGGGGGGGGGGGGCTAGGGGGGCGGCATTGTCGGATACAAATCTAAAAAGCTCAAAACCACAGAAGTAAGGAAGGTGGCAAAAATTCAAAGCTTGGATCAAGCTAAAAGAGGATTGGCTAGTTGCAGGGATAAAGCAATCCGATTGGTCGAGAACGACGCTTCTGAAAAGTACTGACACATGAGTCAGCCCATCATTCCCTGTGAGTTTAAACTAGATATGATACATATCCTGGGCTTCTTTTGCTATTAACTGTTTCTGCCACATATTGAAAGTGATATTTTATGATTCTTATGCATCAATGTTAAGTACCAATGTCGAAAAATAGTACGAAGGTAATATTGATTGAGGAAATAGCTATCGAGGGAAAACTATTTGCAGGAAAATAATAATTGAGTATCCCACACCAATCAGAGTTCAAACAAAAGTGTTCCTTTACACCCCACCGCCTGGTAAACTAAACCAGGGTCAAACCCTTAATTACCGCACATTCAGCGCACCAAGTGTGCACAACAAAGTGCGACATGAACACTAAAGGAAGCCGGTCAGGAACCCAGCCAGTCGAGCGTGGTGGTTGTGACACTCTGATACAAGATACAGGTAAATTCTCTAAACGAGTCACGTGATCAAGATACGGTGTTCTGATTGGCACAATGCCAGACGTTGTCAGGAAGAAGTGTTGTGGTTGGTGGGATTTGTATCTCATTTTCTGGCAGGTTGGTTAATTACTTATTAGATTAAGGGATAAGGCCCCGACAAGGCCTCCATAATTGAATGACACAAATGATAATTGAGAGTTTTAAAAATGAAATCTTTTAATTTAAGGGAAAATTCTAGGAGGCCTTAGAAATTTATCGGTGATAAAAATACAACAAAAATTAATCATTCGTGAAATTGGAATATTTTAAAAGCATTGTCATTTGTCATCCTTCCGATAAATCAAATTAAAGTCTTTAATTTGGTTCCAATAAGCGTGTTCGAAAAACGTTTCTAACATTCCCTCGAATCACGACGGCGAACTGAAACGACCAAATACAGGGATTTGAAAAACCGCAAAAAAGGTAGGTCCTAGTTAATGGATCCAATACAAGATATTGCGACTATAACTTCAAGATACGCCTCAAGTAGACCGGAAGCAAGTGGAGAACACGCCTAGCAGTAATAGTTGTAGAGCTGCACTATACAAGCAAGGAGTATACCCCGCTAATAACGTATACTGAGCTGCACTATACAAGCAAGGAGCATAGCAAGGAGTATACCCCGCTAATAACATGTACTGTGCAGGTTCATTGCGTTATTGTGAACTAGTGTATCAAATGAGTATTTATACTTTTATAGTTAAAGAGGGGTGACCGTGATACTGAGAGAGGAAACTACCAAGACAATGAATTAATATCTTGACAATATAGAAAAGTATTATCGAGTTGCCAAGGTCACTGTGTTAATGTCATACCTGGATACTGGATAGTGTGGAACTATGTGTGTATTAATTTATCAAATTATTAGTTAGAGAGGAATACTGAGGAATGGAACTACCAACACAATGAACTAGGGTTAGGCTACTAGAGATATCACCGTGCCTTAACACAGTGTTAAACAGTGTTACAGCGGTGTCCTAAACGAAGCAGTTTATTCAAAATCTCAACAACCACTGCCTTGACAAAACTATCAAAAAACAACACTAAACTGATACAATGTGCATCACACAATTCACAAAGTTAACAAACCAAACACTCCAGGATCTGGCACAACTACAGAGAACTACCAACATCTCTACACAGCAGCTAACACAGCAGCTATGTCAACACACAGCAGCAGCTGGTCGGACCGGAATGCCCACAAAGCAACACATCTTCTTTGTGCAGAACGCCCAACTAGTTGCATCATACCAGGATATTGGGAGATACGTATCTGCGTGTCACGTGACACTTTGGAGGGTTTCTATTGGAGGAAGTGGAGTGGATGGAGCTGGTGGGTAGAGAGGTGCAGCTGGCACTCTGCCAGTTTCAATAGATTGTAATTGTCCCGGATTAGTGGTAATTAAACTGAGTTTGACGCGACGACATGTGTGTGTGTGGACTGTGGTGCACGACTAGGATACTACCCGACTTTTAATTATCGTTTATTACCCCTGACTCAGATACCCTTTATTTGAAAAATACATGTTTCCTGGCTGAAAATGGTCTAGAAATGGAGCTGAAGCGGTGGGTTTAAAAGATATTTTTGGATAGCTAAAAAGAGCAAGCGCACGTGAGCAAAACACGAACAATGATTCAGGAACTAAGATGAACACTTGCATGTCACTTCAGGGCCCACTTCAGGACGGTTACCAAGGTGCAATTGTTCTGTCCAGTCCCGGAAATATCGACATTAACTGATAATAACCTCAGACCCTTCAGGACACCTATCTGCTGGGCACGTGGGAGATACGGGGAATTCAGCCAATCAGAGCACAGAAGTGGACTCACGTGACTTAAAAGCAAATCAGATTTGCGTGGAAAACACCACGTGAGTGGGTTGGACCAATCAGGTTCAGTGGAGTGTGGAGATGAAGCCAATAAGGAGCGAGGATTAGGGAAACGGGCGGGGTGGGGTGTCTGGAGATATGATCGTCTGTGGTAAATCTAGGATGATAGTTTGAGAGAGGTGGGTTAAGCGGCGTAATTCATGTGGTGAGATGATGATAATATCTTAAGAAGGGCTGAATAAAACGAGGAAATACAGGGTGAAATGACGTAATATCGCGTTAAGATATCGGGACAGTACAGGATACCTTTTGATTCGTTTTAAATGTTGAATAGATGAACCTATCAACACTGAGACAAACTGAAACAAACTGAAACAAATTGAAGCAAAGTGAGCTAACTGTAAACTAACTGTAGCAGCTGTGAGTAGACGGCGAGTAGAAGTTAAAACAAAGGATAGACACATAGAACTCTCCACACACCACGTCTGGTCATAAAACATTCCAGTAAAAACAAAGAATGAACGAGAAAAGCTAAACAAAGCCAGCCTGTAATATCAAAACAATTTGCCACATGACGCTGAAGAAAAGCAAACCACTCGCTATAATCCCCACAGGAATGCACCGCGGTAAAGCGGCCCTCTCATTGGCTGTTATCCTCCCACGTGACCAGGGTCGGGACTTGTGAGTGGCTGAGGAGCCATGTGCGAATAACCGACCCCTGAGGGCTCCATTTGTATTGTTCACCTGAACGCAGCTGTGCAATAATCTAGTAATTAACTCAGCCGATACTATGCGAGTATTGCAACCCAATCGGGGCCGTTATGCACTAACACCGACCAATCCTGATTGAGAACTTCATCACGTCACATTGGTAAGTATGGAAAACTGGAATCTGGGAGACGACCCCGACATTACACTATTCAAGAGTGGAGTTGTCTCCCAAGAGCTACAGACGATAAGAGCCTCACTGATCACGTGATTAGAAGGGACCAATCAGGGAGCTGCCCAGGTGTGCTAAACGGAATTTACAGGCGGCCCAAACAGGGCTATTAGCATTTAGCAGTTATAATGAACTTATTAAACTCTGTTTAGGACTTAGTCGAAATCAATAAGTTTAGAGAATGTTGGTCAAAATTGTGCTGAAGCTAGGACTCTATAATTTGAAGCTGTAACTTATAAATCTGTAAATATAATTACCACAATTATCTTTCAATTATCCCAATTATGTTAAACCCGATACCCTGATATTTTCCCCCTGACCCTAGGCCTAGTATGTACCCTAATTATTGTACTCTTCAGTTCTTTAACCCAAATCCCTGACAAATCAGCTATCATATCCCCAACCGCGACCGGCCTCAATTTATTGATCTCATTTGGACCAAGGGTAGAAATCCTGCCCTCATCATTCATGCTTTACAAGAAATTCAATTTATTCTCCACAACAAATCCCGGAATTCTAAAGAACTCCAAGATATTCATACCTTCTGAGGGTTATCCTGCTCGATGTTCTTCAGCTCAGTAGATAGAGTAGGGTAGAGTTGGCTCTGATCAGGACCAGCAGTCTGGTGGTACCCTGCCTCTGTCTGGTGGTACCCAGGCGAAACTGATGGTCGTGCAGGTGGTAGTGATGGTAGGGGTGGAGGTTGGGACCCGGACTGTTGTTGTTCTTCTCCGAATCTAAAGGTGGGTATGGTGATAAAATTCGTAATTTCAACTTTAATTTTCTAGCTAGTTTTATGATTCAATTATAACGGCAAAAATAGTGTAGATCTTATTCACAGACATGCAGAAATTGTAGCTATTTTGTGTGTAGCAAAACAACAAGAAAAATGTAGATAAATTAATAAATAAATTCTAACATTTATTACACGCTTCAACATTAAAATATACACTACGAAGATGTACTTTTAAGTCATTCAAGCGAGACTTAGTATGGAAATATCAAGATAATGCACTTCTTTATCAGTTCAGAATGGCGAGAAGACTAACCTTCGTCGGAGATAATCCACAGGAAGGGGAGGGGGTTGTCCGGGAATGTTGTTGGGTTCAGCGTACAACACTGGGTCCGGGTGCACGTAGATGGAGTTACGGTTGGGAAACGGTGAGGGAATCGGCGCTGAGGGTTGTACTGGAAATGAGAAACAGGTTACTGATCTCCTGGTGTGAAAATTAAATGGCGCAGTGCCAAGGAAATCTGATATATGATGTAAATAGTATACATTTTACAAATTAAGTATCAAATATTCCTGAACTAAATACATGATAACTCTACAAATCTCACGTTGAGGAGGTGCTGAAGGTGGGGGCTCGTCTAGATCTAAACTCATAATATTCCTATCCTGGTGAGGAGGATGGGAGTACGCCTTCTTATAGGGCACCTTGTCTTTAACAGAGTTAACCCGGTAGTTGCCCGGTACTTTGTCTCCGAACATGTTGTCTCTGGTAGCTCGGGGGTAAGCGTAGTGCTCGCTGGTAGACATTGCACTGTCTACCTCTACTTCTCCAGGCTCATCTGATGTCTTACGGCTACGGGGAGGAGAATAGTTAGAATTCTGATTATGTTACAGGCTAAATTAGAATATTATGAAAGACAGAAAGGTATATTATAATATTATAAAAGACATAAAGTTGTTTTGAGAATTAAAGTTGATGAAATAAGCTTCCCGTACCGTGGATGTTGAGGACTGTTATCAACCCGGAGGTTCTCTTTACCATCACAGTGTACACTGTACTGTTTCCTTATCTTGTTCTTCTTTCCTCCACTCATTGCCGCCTCACTGCTACGCTCTTCTGGAGACATCACGTGATCAGAGATATGTTTCATGGTCGTGATTTTTAAAAAAATCAATAAACTTTCAAAATGTTTACAAATACATCATTTTATTTCAAAGAAAATTCGCCGAATGACCTTTAATACCTTGACAAGTGACCGAGTGTAAACAAAATTAGGGACACCATTAGTTTGGCACACTCCAATGATACGATATGTACCAAAACATTGAATCTACCGGTCTTGGAATTTCCTTCTTAAAAGCTATCTAGTAAAATTGCATTAATTTACACACTTAAAAGAGACTAATACAATGAACGAGGGATAACAATATCCATAAAATTTAATTTCGATCAAACAATGTTTTTAAAATTAAAGACGTCTTACCTTCATCAGTCTCTACGATAACAGTAACAGCGCTCACAATCGGAGTCCCATTTGATATGTTTAGTTCCTAGAATAGGGAGGGGAAAAAGTGAGGTTTAGAAAAGCGAATTACCATACAAGTTCATGACGAGTCAAAGGAGGAATCAATTGAAAAGCCTCTAAAACTGATATGCACTTATCGGTCTGATAACCAACTCCAAAATTTACAGCACAACGAACGAACAGACAAACAAACAAACAAACCTACCTCAAAACTGGTGCTCTCAACAAACAAGAACGACATTATTATGACACACAGTGACAAGTAACACTACACTAGTGGACAGGTCTCTCTGACTAGACGCAGCACATGAATATAAAGCAGATAACAAACCCACCACACAGTACCGATTAGCCCTTAAAGTACAGAGTACGATAATGGTATATATACTGAGCAGCACCGGGCGGAGGCTGTGTTTGTAACTGTTGCTGGCCAGCAGGACAGAGCAGGACAGAGTAGCGCGACCTATCAACAGTTTAGGTGCTCTGTGATTACGGAGCTGGAGCTCACACCATGTCATTAATCATACTCCACTATATAGTATATAGTATATACTATATAGTATATAGAGTAGTGGTCAGTACTGTGGGTGGTGGTGTTTAGACGGTATTATCTCTTAATCTACATAATGATGCTAGCTGTCATGTGTATAGGAAGCGTGGAAATAGTTTGGGGAGAATAATGGGGGTTTGTGACCTAACCATTTCAGTACTATACGCTGAGCATCGTTTATCAAAAACAAATTTAGTTTCAGTTATCTACTCAAGATGCGATAAATAAACCCAAACTAATTAGAGCGAGTGATCAGTACTTTTATAATTGATCTTGTGACAGTGAACAGTTGACAGGTGGATCATTAGACCATCCGGATCAGTGCTGGGACCATTGTTAATATTGTTTAGACAATGGAACTCTAATTAGCATAATTATGCGTAATTGTCTGTTATCGTGCCCGTAATTGTCTGTCATCAGTTGAGAATTAAAATAGTATTTCAGAGAAGATGTAAATTTAGGTTTGGGAGTGATCTTCTTGTCAGATCAATGCTGTTTCATCCAAATATAGCGACATCAATACTTTGAGCTCCAATAAACTATTATTATTTGCGGACATAGCCTCTCTTATCTATGTTCTTATCTCTATCTCTTATCTTATCTCATATCTTATCTCATTCTCTTATCTTATCTCTATCTGTCCAAAAGGAGAGGTTAAGTGAGCGCCACACTCACACAAGTTTACATTGAGTTAAAGAACACCCAAAACCATTTACCATGTACCATGTTACTTTCACATTGTTTAAGCATTTCATAAATAGTATTGATGGCTATTTTGCGATTCAACTCGAGACTGCACTTAGTTCCCAAACGGAGCAACGTTCTATATATTAGACAAATTGGTCACTCATAATTTTGATGAATCTGTAGATATAAATTAAGGACCTACAGTCTACACTCGACAGTAATCAAAATGAAAACGAAACAAGCTGTATCTAAGAATACATTCTACAAACTTCAATAAACACTACAGTCACAGTGAAAACAGAGTATGAGTAGTAGTGAGTACAGTGTCAAGTTGCAGGTAGACGCCCGATGATTCATCAGATAATATGCATGAATCTATGGTACTCAAAATACAGAATACAGAACACAGTACAATCTCAATATATTTCTCAACCAACAAAATGCACAGCATCTCAACAAATCACTACTGTCACACTGAAGACAGAGTACAGTTTCATGTGCACCTGTACAAGTGAGAGAAGTATAAAACAAACACCGTGTCACGAGAAGGAAGCGTCTAATAGGTCAGAGGGTGGTGGTTCTATTAAAACACGTGAATTTGTCAAGAGATACACTACAAGATATACATTATACATACATACTACACTACAAAATATAGTACACTACATACGTTTTGAGGGGAGTCCGAGAGGAGTATAGGGCCGTACTTGCACATGACAAAGTGTGCGACAAAATTATGACAAAGCGTGGTACTAAGTGTGGGACAAATGAGATTGTTGAAGAGAGGCTTTTATATAGTGTAACCGGTTGTGTGATGTAGTTTCAGATGATGTAATGATTGAATTTTCGAAAACGAAAGTTGAATTCCGTTATAGATTGGATTGATGTTTGTCATTACCTCGTATAATTGTGAAGATCAATGATGTAATTCCTCGTTTTCAATCCAATTAAGTTCCGGTTAACGCAAAATTATTGAATTTGGCGGGAAAATCCGAAATGATAATAATCATATTAAAATTCTTGCGGATCGCTGTGTTGCTCTGGTGATCAAACGTTATTCGACAAGCTTTAAACATTCCGCAGAAAAACAAACAAACAGACAATAACAGAACATTTTAAAACACACCACAATGTGTAATTATCACTAAAACAAACCAAGCTAAAAGAACTGCTAACTAAACTACAAATGACCACTGAAACTAAAGTACTGACAAACTGACAACTGAACAACACTAAACTCACGAACAAACCAAGAAGTATCACAACAAAACACACATTACCTCATAGTGTGATTCAATAGCAGGGGGACTCTCACTCTCCTCTCCATACTCAGCAGGTCTAGAGGGGTCCAACTGGTCCGACAGCCTGCTTGTTGGAGAAACGTCGCTACAAGGAGGGTGAGACGAGGTGTTAGAACGGGGTTAGAACTGACCAGGATATCGGGATCAGTTTTAAAACTCGTTATTTTTTTGTCCAGTCTTAGGACACGGAACATGATTTCAAGTCCGCAAGGGAAAGTTTGAGTTCAGCATTCTATTCTAGATTATTAGAGGGCTATTCTTCGTTTTCTATCGATCAAATCGGTAAAGACATTAACAAAAGATGAAACACAAATCACGAGGGTAACTCATATTGTACAATGAATTTACAATAGAAATGTAATATAACGATTAGTGCAAGGCTCGTGCCATCACTACAAAAGGGCTGGACCCTCAACGAGCGCTAAATGTATTAACTATAGAACTATTAAGGAGTTCAACACAAAACAAATAAGAGACAAAGTGAAAAGAGCTTACAAACACGCGTTTTAAACAGTATGTTCACAGCCTATCAAATGTCAACTTCAGAGGTCTCGACCAATGAGAAGAAGGGAGGAGAGTCACGTGGTGTGAGATATGTGTGACCAGGTGGGTCGGGGGAGTTTCACCATGTAGTACAAATACAATTGTACTGGGACTAACGAGTATATCAGCTGTAATGTGACGGTAATAGTGGGACTCAAGATCTGATTGATAATTGAGCTCTGTAAAGAACACACTTATTAAGTAAATGCTTCACGTGCCTTAGATTGAAAAGAGGGCAAAAATAAACGCAAATACAAATATCAAAGACAATTTTTCAAGTTCATTGGTCTTTCTATAGTGTAATGATAATTAGAACGGCCAAGAAATATTTGCGCTTCGCTTCCGGTATTAGAAATAAAAGCAACAGAAAATTCTATTGAAATTCTGCAAAAGTTTTCATAGGAAACCAAAGCTATACACAGATAAACACTAAAGAGAATAGTGTAACGGTATAACACGACCCATTTCTCATTCAAACACATTCCTTTTATCAGATTTACATAACCACGAACACCTGCACGGGTAGAAACTGAGAAATATAAATTATAATCACATGCAGAAATTTGACAAAGGAGGAAAAGATTGCACGTCTTGCCGTATACCCTCGAGGGATCGGGCCGGGTAAATCAAATTCCATTATTCACAGATCACAACAAAAGGAAGGGGACCTGTAGATGAGGACGGTTACATCATGATGTGATATGTGTCTGCCCCGTGTCTACAATATCCTAATAACACTCTGCAACACTGAACACTCACAAGTGTGCCTCACGGAGAGTGTGCCGGCTGTGCTGTGCTCTGATTGGCTAGTGTTTGTCACGTGATGAGTGGAGCTGTTGTTTAATTGGACGGTGCTGATCAACTTGTATGAAACGGGGACTGTTCAATTTAAAATTTCAATCACAACGTCGATCAATCACGGAAAAAAGAGTAAAAAGGAAGTTTTTGGCAGTGAGGATGTCCAGATATTCAATGAGGTCCAGAACTTATTACTGAGGAGAAAACAAGTGCAACGGAGAACTATTCAACTAAGTACTGTGAAAATAAAGACCGCGAAACGGAAAAGTATATTTAAAATGTTGGGGAATGAGCGGGAAAATTTTGGATATTACATGTATCCTAGATCGATTACAATCAACATACCATATACGGTGCGAAACTAGCCGAGATGTTTGGCGCCACAATACAAAATATGCTTTGTTAATTGTAATCGATCCAGAAAACAGAAACCAAAATTGTCCCGCTCTTTCTACCTCCATTACAAATTGTTCAATGGACAAGTAAACAGCAATTCCAATTTCCAAGACTTACTTTTGAGAGTATTTGGGTGCTTTAGGAGGAGAGTAGAGCTTGAGAGGGGTAACCTCGGGAGCAGGTATTCTGTCATACAATGCACGGTGTGCTGGAATGTCACTACATTCCCCGGATTCCGAGCGCGATTTCCTCTTTTTACCGCCGCCTGAAGAGAAAGCTACAGTTAATAACATAAGTGATCTATATCTGACTACTTAGGTCAGATCAGAAAGTTTAAAAGTTTAGTCCCTCGTGAGACGTCAAGCAGGGCTGAATTCTGGATTATCGGAGATGTTCTAGTGCCCGAAATATTCGGACATATCATTGAATATGATTATTTTTAGGATACTGATATGATTATTTTTAGGATACTGAATTAATTTTAGCAGGAACCATTAAAACATGGTTTTTTAAATGCCTATATAATAGGCTGATTTCAAGAAGAAACTGAAGATTTATTTGATGAAAAATCTCGAACTTTTATTATAATAGGTAATCATTTATCTTTATTCATAAACCAAAAAATAGAAGAATTAAAAATCACGTCATAATAAGATCTTGGCCATTTCATTGCTTAAACTGTCTTATTCAAAGCAGCTACAAACATTTTCTCGAAATTAAAAAATAAAACTGGAATTTAATACACCGTAGGTCAGCTTGAAATTTCAGACAAATCTGGAACTGCACGCTCCAGGGCATGGCCTAAGGGGTGTCAGTCGAAGGATCTTCACCCTGATGAACTCTCTCAAACTGGGAATAGTAAAGTAGTACACGTAGATGTTACACATGATGTTAAGTCCTGTGAAAGAAGTTGAAAACCACGACAGTGTACGAACATCAGCCCCAAGATCAGTATACGTGCAGATGTAGGCCCATATTGTAGGTATAGTTGAGATGCAGTATATTATTACTGTGATGACGACAGCAGCTACCCCTCTGGTTGGGGTTCTGCCTCCATTATGCTGGGCTACTCTCCTGGCTTTGCCAAGATAACTGAGGATTAAAACTGTGGTAACCATCATGATTAATGTTGGCAGAACTTGAGTGATCCCAATCCGGAAGTAAGCTATGTAATCGATCGAGGATGCCTTTTTGGGCATCCATTTGAAACTAGCCGTGTCAAATACGACATACAATGCTGGGAAAATGTTCGCAAATAACCATATCAAGGCACATGTTATATGAGCTCTTTTGATAGTCCATCTTGGTGAGTGAGTAGGATATCTGATCAACATCAACTTGCTGATGCTAAGCAGCGCTATCATAATGGTGTTGGCCCCAAACGTTGCCGTGTCTACATACAACCGGATGTAGTCGATAGCACCATTAAAAACCCATCTATTAGCGATCAGCATTACTATAGTTGGCAAGACAAAAGAGAAGCAAGAAATCAGGTCAGATACCGCGATATGCTGCATAACAGTGACAATGAACTTGTTTAGTCGTATCCCATTGGGCTGGGTAGAAGCTGCTAAAATTATAGAATCTCCTATCAGAGATGAGGCCAGGGTGAACAGAAGGAATGTCGCGCACAAATTCTTAGCTCCGTTCTCCTCGATACTAAATAATGTGCTGTTAGACAATGTGTTTGTAGGAGGGACATCTTCCATTATCCAGACTACACTCGAACACAAGAAAAACGGATGTAAGAAGCACAATGAGAGTTTGTTCTTGACAGGGTATCTTTAAAACTTGATGGCCATCAAAGCCTGGAATTTATGTGTTGAGCTTTATTATAGTGCTCAGTTAATAAATGGTATAAGAGTGTCAGAACCTTGGTTTTGACAGGTCTATAAAGTTTCTTTTATATTGAGTTTCAATAAAAAAGTGAGAACTTTAAAAGGGTGACCCAGGGCCAGGTACGAGCCCATTATTAGTTCTAAATATAGCCGATGGGAACCGGACACGAGGGCGGAGGACACAAGAGCGGTACTTTCCTAAAAGGGTGGACACGAGGGCGAATCACATGACTCACTGTTATAAGTGTTATGAATTAGTACTAATAAACTTGTAACATCACAAAATTTCAGTTTTAATTTTGCTTACAAGCGACAACTAAGCGTCAACCTAATTTTATACACATTAATGATTAAATAATATATTTTAGCTGTTACCACATAGCCATATTTAATCATTTAATTACATTTGATAAGACTTAACTGGCAAAACATAAGATTTAACGAAACAACTCAATTAAAACCAAAAAGGCTGAAGTAAAGATAGTCAGGCAAACAAATAAAAGTCAGTTTGAAAATCGTTCACTCAACAGTTTGGTCATTTATAATGATATAAATATGATTGTAATGAAATAAATATGATTGAATCATGAATAAATATGATTGTAAATAAATATAAATATAATATATGATTGTATAAATATATATGATAAGACGGTCAGGCAAACAAATAAAAGCCTAAATCAATTTGAAAATCGTTCACTCAACGGTTTGGTCATTTATAATGTTAAATATATGATTGTAAATAAATATGATTGTAATGAAATATGATTGTAAATAAATATGATTGTAATGAAAAACGTCAAATAAAATGACTAACATCTGGCTTACGTAATAAGTAAACTGCTAAATATCAGCAAGCCTATTTAGCAGTTTACAAATTTATTGAAAGGAAATAGGTAGTAGGTACTAGTGAGTGGTCGTTCTGTCTGAGAGGATTGATGGTCTAAGTACGTTACCAAATCCCCAAATCTGCTGCTGAGGTGACTGAGATAATTAAAAAATGTTTAAGGAAAATCTCTCAATTTTCGGCTCGTTTAAATCTGGGTGAGTCATGTGATTCGCTAATACAGTAATACGCAGACAGCAATGAAGAAGACATGGCCCATGAGTCCTACTAATAATTCAAAACACATTATAATCTAAGCATAATATAAGTACATAATATACAACTAGTAGTACTACGTAGTGCAACTAACATAGAGTGCAATTATGCAAATGTATGTCAATTGAGGAATGCGAACTGAAGCCTTTTAGAAAATTTAATTGTATTGGAATCTCGATGTTGGGGCGTGACTAGCTGGAAACAAATATTCCTAAAATACGCACAATGCATTTGTCGTACTACTGTATTATTATATTATAGTAGTATGTATTCAGTGAGACGAGGGATGACTTTAATTATAAGACGAGGGATAGGTTGAAGTTGAGATGAAATTATTCCAGACCGGTGTCCTGCTCCTTCTCATTAGGCTTGCACCCTCTTACTTAGGGTCGTAATTACTAATTGCATTAATCTTTAGTCTCCATTACATAGTTTTGAGAAAAACATGACATCATAGCTGTAAACTACAAGTAAAAACTGTAATTGAACCTATAATTAATAACTCCCTACTTGTGATCTGCTTCCATTAACTACTATGTCTACTTCACGCTAGTGATTATAGCGGAGTGGGGTTAACAAGTTCAGGTGTCGACGTTGTAGTACAGACCTCTCATTCTAGGTACCGGGCAACCGGCTCCATAATTCACAACTTAACCGTCTGATTGTGAGCACTCTGCAGTATTTTAACTTATAGGCAGGTAAGTATATATTAATATAAATATATATGATTGTAAATACAACTGGTTTTCTTCTCTTATAGAAAAAGGGCTCTACTAGCTGTAGCTAGGAGCATGAAATATCGGTACAAAGCAAACTATGCAATTGTCAAACTATAAGTTTCATGTTTGAAAAGCAATCTTCAGTGACATAATTAACATAAAAATGGCAAACATAATACAACACAATTGTTAATTGTTAATTATAAAATTTGATAAAGGAGCACTGTGACAGTGCTCCTTTATCAAATTTTATAATTAACAATTAACAATTACTCAATACTACTAAACCTATATAACTACAAATCCTAATAACTAATAAATACTAACTGAATATGTCCTACCTACCTATGTGACCTATGTTGAGTTTCGTCAAGACTTGACGGGGCCATCACATCTTCTGACCACCCCATAGCGAAGTAGAGTCTCGCTCGTTGCGCCAGCACAGCAGAGAGTTCGTATTTGGAGGAGTATATCCCCTGATCGGCGGCTTATCAGGGAGAGACAACATGAACTTTGTGAGCTTATCTTTGAAGTGCTCTAGATCTTGAATGACATTCAGATGGTAGGGGATTGCATTCCACAATTTAGGTCCCTGAACTGCAAATGAGTTGTCAAACAAGGTGAGGTTTGCTGTTGAACTGGTTCTACGTTTTGATGGAATTACTGCAAGGTTTCCAAGCCTTGGGCGTGAAACAAATAGAACGTTCAGATCATTGCTGGTCTTTCCGTGGAGGATTTTCCACATATGGAGAATGATGAATCGCTCCCGCCTTCGTTGAAGAGACATCAGAGATAGATAGACCAGGCGATCCCAGTAGTGGAGATCGCGCATTCCTGATATTCTGGCGGTGAATGCTTTCTGTACACTCTCCAGTTCTTGGATATCGCTGATTTTTGAGGGATGCCATAATGGACAGCAATATTCAATCAGACTTCGAACCATTGATTTGTATAGCGTCAGCATGATGGAGTGAGATCGTGTGTGAAATACACTGAGAACCCATGATGCTTTTTGGCGAGCTTTATCTGCAATGGCTCGTATGTGAGGGGACCAAGAGAGATCACTTGACACTATGACGCCTAAATCCCTGAGCTGATGTATTGGCTCAAGTATAGTGTCTTTGGAAACTGAGTATTGATAGTGTTCAACCACAAATGGAAGTTCAGATAGTACATATTGGTGATTGAATTTATGACACATGTACTCAAATTTGTCTTTGTGAAGGGCCATATTATTTCTTTCAGACCAGTCAATGACATTTTGCAGATCTTCTTGGAGGAGCTTGACGTCATGCTCCGATTTGATAGCAATGGATATGCGAGTGTCATCAGCAAAACATCGAATTATAGAGTGCATGATACAATGTTCGATATCATTGATAAAAATCAAGAAAAGGATCGGCCCCAAAACCGTACCTTGTGGAACTCCGCTGATTATCAGTGCAAGGATGGACAGATGACCGTCAACAACAACTGCTTGTTTCCGGTCTGAGAGGAAAGATTCTATCCACTTTATGATTTTAGGATGGATTCCATAGAGTTGGAGCTTTCTCAGTAGGAGTTTGTGATCGACTTTATCGAAAGCCTTGGCATAGTCGAGGTATAT